CGGGTCCATCCTCACTTTTTCTACCAGGAAACTCATGGTAGATACATAATTTCCGCCGCATGAGAGACGTGATGCATCAAGGGCAGTTGAAGTGGCACCAACCTCATAGTTCTCGTAGTCACTTATGATAGGATACTGCAAGAAAAAGCGTATACTAGTGATATCCTACTTTGTCCTCGGTTCTCTTGACCTTTTCTGGCCAAGTCGACGACTGTCCAAGATCTTATTGCGGGTGGAGTACGAAGTACCATGCCATGCCCCGGCCCAAGCTATGGCCCTGACAGAAAAAAAGGAGATTTTTCAGCCTATTGATGTGTGCGTGTGTGCTTGTGTTTGCCGCATGCATACATACATAAAACCAGTAGATCGTCACACATGATTCGTCTTGACTCGATCTTTCTGTCCCTCTCTCTGTGTCTCTTCCCCAGTCGACGATCATTTCAGTCCACCATCCAAAGGGGCATCTCCACCCAGTCTCTCGTTCATCTTCTGATTGATCGACTTTCGTTGCTTGACTTTGGTTGCTGACTTGGTTACTGACTTTGGTTGCCTCGTCATCCTGCTCACTCAAACCACTGCAATGGTTTTCTCGTGGGTGATTCAGGCCGGCTGCTACTTTGGCTTTATAACCTGTAGTACACCCCCCGGTGTCTGGACCTCGAATCCCACAGTCGTTACATCTGTGCCTCCATCACAGACCACTGTATCGAGCAGTAGTGTAGCATCTACTGTTGGGCTGACCACCTCGTCCGCTGTTCTCTCGTTAACCTCTACCCCGGTGACTCCCACCGGTACTACACTCGTTTCTTCTGTTAGCCTGTCCTCCACCATGTCTCTCAGCCTCAGTTCGAGTATCGTCCCCTCGGCCACTCCCTCGGCTACCCCCATTAGCCAGGGTTCGGTCTTGTCGAACATCCTTGTGATCGCCAAGGACTCTTCCTCGGCCAGTTCGGCTACCTCGGGTCTCAATGCGTACGGCATCCCGCACACCACGTTGCTGGTCCCCCAGGCCGGTGTGGCCCTGCCGGCTCTCAACGCCAGCACCGTCGGCAACTACGGCGGTATTGTCGTTGCTGCTGAAGTGAGCTACGACTACGGTGGCACTACCGGCTACCAGAGCGCCTTGACCACCGACCAATGGAACCAGCTGTATGCCTACCAGCTCGAGTATGGCGTGCGGATGGTGCAGTGGGATGTCTATCCCGGCCCCAACTTTGGTGCCAGCGCTGTGAACGGCGGTTGCTGCAACACCGGCGTGGAGCAGTTGATCTCGTTCACCGACACCAGTGACTTTCCTACGGCGGGATTGAGGACCGGCGCTGCTGTCAGCACCGAGGGTCTCTGGCACTACCCGGCCACGATCAGCAACACCACCACCACCAAGGAGATTGCCCAGTTCGCTGCCAACTCGGTCACCTCGACCAACACCACTGCTGCTGTCATCAACAACTTTGGTGGACGCGAGCAGATGGCGTTCTTTATTGGCTTTGCCACGGACTGGAGTGCCACCTCCAACTACCTGCAGCACGCATGGATCACCTGGATCACCCGCGGTCTGTATGCGGGACACCGCCGGGTCAACCTGAACACCCAGATCGACGACATGTTCCTCGAGACGGACATCTACAAGCCCAACGGCACCACCTTCCGGATCACCGTCGCTGACTTGGAAGGCATCTCGGCTTGGGTTCCGACTATCAACGCCAAGATGAACCCCGGCAGCTCCTACTTTGTCGAGGTTGGCCACAACGGCAACGGCAACATTGAGCAGTCGTCTTCCACCGATGCGGGTGCTACAGCTTGCAACGGAGGCGGCATCGAGTACAACTCTCCCCCCGACACTCCCCTGGAGTTCAAGAAGCCCCTGGGAACCGGTACCAACCTGTGGCCGGCCAAGCCCACTGTCTACGACTGGACTGCCGCCTGCACCCAGCTAGACGACCTGCTGAAGTGGTGGGCCACGCCGGCCAACCGCGACGTGTTCGGCCACATCTCGCACACCTTCACCCACGAGGAGCAGAACAACTCGACCTACTCGGACATCTTCAAGGAGATTTCCTTCAACCAGGCCTGGCTGAAACAGGTCGGCCTGGCCCAGGCCAAGTGGTTCACCGCGAACGGCATCATCCCCCCTGCCATCACCGGTCTGCACAACGGCGATGCCCTGCAGGCGTGGTGGGACAACGGCATCCGCAACTGCGTCGGCGACAACACCCGCCCGGTACTGATGAACCAGCAGAACAGCATGTGGCCCTACTTCACCACCGTCGAGTCGGACGGGTTCGCCGGCATGCAGGTCAACGGCCGCTGGGCCACCCGCATCTATTACAACTGCGACACTCCGGCCTGCACGCTGCAGGAGTGGATCGACACGTCCGCCGGCAGCGGCACCTTTGACGACCTGCTGGCCGTCGAAAAGGCCGACACCATGCGCCATCTCTTTGGCCTGTGGCATGACGGCTACATGTTCCACCAGGCCAATCTGCGCAACGCGGACGTGGCCCCGATTACGATCAACGGCGTGTCGGCCAAGTACTCCATCTTCCAGGCGTGGGTTGAGACTGTTGTCCAGGAATTCGTCCGCCTGGTCGACTGGCCTTTGGTCACCCTCACCCATTCAGAGGTATCCCTTGTCTTTAGTTCGTTATTCTCTATATCAGTCTAACAATGAGTAGATGTCCGATGCCTTCCTTGCGCGGTACCAGCGCGACCAGTGCGGCTACGCCATGTCGTACGCCGTTTCCAACAAGAAGATCACCGCCGTGACCCTGACGGCCACGGGCAACACCTGCAGCCGGCCCATTCCGGTGACCTTCCCTGTGGCTCCCACCAGCACGCAGGGCTACACCACGGAGCAGTTGGGGAGCGACCCGCTGACCGTGTGGGTGCAGCTGTCGGGATCTCCTGTTACCTTTACCCTTTCCACTCCTATTGCTCTCTAGCCTATCGCCCTACATCAGTTGATACTTATTACATGTCGTAATGATAGTGCTTAGTGAATTGACCATCCATAATTGCTAGTCCTCAACATTACCTGTAGGCTGTAGACCATCCATGCCATGCCAAGTATGAATGTGAGACATTCCCAATCAACAGCGGGACAAGACAACTGAACCATTCTCTGACGTCCACGGTCAGATCTTACCATGGCCCATGGGTCATGGACATCTGAATTAACCCTAACCAATCAGCCCCCATCCATAACTTACCGCCGAGTCCAAGACTTGGTCCTTGGACCTGAACCGTATGAATCCACAATGGATACCTTGGCGACTTACACCAGTGACAGCTAATCGACTCATCATATTATCCGATTCTGACAAGGCAATCAATAGTCGCATGGCATGTGTCAGGCAAATAAAGTAAAGTCAATATTCAATAGTCGATTCTACCTATCCGGTACTCAACGGTTGAATGTATCTCGGCCGGAGAATGCAATTGCAAGTAGATACCGGGCTACGGCTACCCCTTACTTGGAGGAGGACAAGACAAGGACTGTGCTCGGCTGAATGGCCGCATTGACCTTAGCTAGTTCTGAATCTAGCCAGTCCTACCTACACTTACTCCGTAGACTAGACTATTCAGAATAGAGTGCAAGTTGCAACTTGCAACATCCTATGGAGTCAAGCAGAGCAAAGCAGAAGCATCGGTCTTCTCCGTCACTACGCGCAGTGCAATGCAGCAGTAATATAGACGATGCGCTGTMATCTACTAATGTATCTCATCACACCATAGTGACCATACGGAGTAGACTAGAGTGCCATGAAGTGCGGCTGTAGCTGTAGCTGCAGGCGTAGCCAAGCAAGTCAAGTCACCCATGGGCCATGCAAGCATGTACGCGACATTGTTTGCTCTTCGGCGCGGCCAGCCAGCGCGGCCGAGCTTACAGTGGACGGTGCTCTGCTCTACCCCTGCAGAATGCTGTCCTCCTGTACGGAGTACGGAGTACGGGGGAGACTCAAGGCTCAAGCTCATGCGATGCCAGGGCGGATGACTGGTTATTTATCCTCGTAGAGTAAGTGTACAAAGTACCTAGTTGTAAGGCTGTGGTGCTCTGTGCGTGTGACTTTGTTCACTTTCTTTGGGATTGAATGCTGGTAAATGGAATATTGACTCGCTAGTTGATGTTCAGTCAACGGTAAGTGTCAACAACGTGGCAGATGTGTGGGTATGGTATCTACTATCTACCTTCTCTAGCTGCGCCAGGAGAGGCTTCCATGGTGCGAGTCAGACACAGACAGAGGCACCTGTACAATACTGTATTGTATTGTATGGTTGTATGTGTATTATCATGCTGTATTTGCAATGGGTACGATCCTACACGCTAAGCTTTAGCGTCCGGCGCTAGAACGCCCCATCTTTGAGATTATCTGGCCGTGCGTGATTGGATAGGTTCCATAGGGTGAAAAATCTTCCCGAGACGGGATTTTGAGTGAGACTCGCTGCAGGCTGAGAATTGAGTCAGTCCACTGGCCAGTTGGCAATGTTGCAATGTAGTCCTGCACTACTACGGTGATATTTATAGAGTGCTGAGTTAAAGGCAAGGCACTCGGATCTGATCTGGTGAATGACACTACAATATTCCTAGAGTCACTGGAGAGGTATTAAGTAATCAATATGATTGATAGATGGTCACACAAGTAATAGCTCAGCCCAAACAATAGAGTATAGACGCCTGTCAGCCATCGCCCAATATGGCTAGTCCTGACTCCGTAGGCTGCCGCATTATTCAGTTTCTTTGTTCATGGAACAAGTCTAGATGTTGATTCTTTATCGTTCGGTGGTTGTCTTTCACAAGTCTGGCAGAGTCTGTAGTCTTGTTCAGCTTCTTTGATGCTGTGTAACTTGTACTCGATTGAGATTCCAAATCACCGTGGCTGTGGATGCAGACTGACAGGCTACAGGCTACAGCCATATATTGACAGTCGCCCACTATCTACTGATCTACGATCTACGATCTACGACCTACGACCTACGATCTACGCAACTCCACCGATACGATGAGTCCCTTTGAAAAAGGCCAGTCGGCCCGCGGCTGGAAATCATGGACAACCAGGAAGAAGCTGTTCGTACTCTCGCTCGTCCTCCTCATCATCATCGCCCTGGGAGTCGGTCTCGGCGTCGGATTAGGCATCGGTCTGGGCGGCGGCGGCGGCAATGAAGAAGGCTCAGGCTCAGGCTCAGGCTCAGGCGGGGGGACGACCTCACCGCCAGAAGGCAACTACACAACGGCCAAGTGGCAGCCCGCGGTGGGAACAAAATGGCAAATCGAGCTGCTGAACGCGTTGAACGACACCTCCGTCGACGCAGAAATATACGACATCGACCTGTTCACCAACAACCAGTCCACCATCGCCGCGCTGCAGCAAGCCAGCCGCAAGGTCATCTGCTACTTCTCCGCGGGCAGCTACGAGAACTGGCGGCCGGACAAGGCCAAGTTCAAGGACTCGGATCTGGGCAACGACCTGGCAGACTGGCCCGGCGAGAAATGGCTGAACCTCAGCTCGGCAAACGTGCGGCAGATCATGCTTGACCGGCTGGACATGGCGCGCGACAAGGGCTGCGACGGGGTGGACCCGGACAATGTGGACGGGTACGACAATGACAACGGGCTGGACCTGACGCAGGCGGACTCGATCCAGTTTGTGAATTTCCTGGCGAATGCGGCGCATGCGCGGAACATGTCGGTTGGGTTGAAGAACGCGGGGGCCATCATCCCGTCGGTTATCAGAAACATGCAGTGGAGTGTCAACGAGCAGTGTGCGCAGTACGACGAGTGCGATACCTACTCTGTGTTCCCGCAGAACGGCAAGCCGGTGTTTCACATCGAGTATCCCAAGGGGGATAAAACCAACAATGATCTTTCCGTGACGACGACGCAGAAGAACAAGGCCTGTGAGTTTTCGGGGTCGGCCAATTTCTCGACTGTCATTAAGAACATGGATCTGGACAATTGGGTTGAATATTGTTAGTGCCTTGCCTCGTGGTCTGGCCTAGTGACGAGCATGACTGGAGTAGCATGGGCGGAGTTGGTTTCACTGATCTTGACTTTGCTTCTATCTGTCTATCTGTAACTTGAGTATCTAATTATATCTGCATCAGTTTCATACAAGCGATCATACATGATACGCTGGACGCAAACATCTACCCTCGCATTTTGCCTCAACGTAGCGCTCACTACTAGCATTGAATCTTGGCGTTCCATATCTATATAAGTATAGCCACCGTCCACAATCCACACGCATGAACCAGCGGAGAACACAGCACAGTGCGAACTGCAAACTGCAAGCTGCCACGGGATACTGAGGTGCACTCCTCAACCGCGATTCGCATATCTTCATAGTCCGAATTGAAACCCAGCCACGGAATTTTTAACCCTCGGCAGGATTTTCCGTGGAGATAGTAGGGTAAGTTGTGTAACAGAGTTTTCTAGATGATTGATGGACTGATTGAGTTTAACTAGTTTGATGTGTGTGTCGGCTGCAAACTCCTGAGTCAGAAGTTCAGCGATCCACCGACTGGTCAGGCCATCTGATAGATAAATAAAGGTCGTAGATAGAGTTTGTCATGGCGCCGTGGTTCTCTGGTTTGTTCCTGGACTGACCATTAATTAATCTGCGGAATTTCCTCGGCAACTTGATTATCTCCGTGGATTATTATTGCATGAATAGATGCAGGCCAACTTGCCAAGTGCACTGCCAACACGGAACAGAAAGCGGGCCACGGCCCAGGTCCGAAACCTCGTGAAACGAGCCGCTGTATTGGCCTAATTCCAAATCTAGGTTGGATCCTCGTCAGTCAGAGTCATGATGATATAATAATACGAGTCATATCATCTATGTATTTTGATCTATCTCCTGCACTACTCCGTACCATGACTCTTAACTTCGTGCTTATCACAGAGTACAACCAACAACCCAGTCCAAAACACTATAAATACCAAGATCCAACCAACTGGCAAGCAGTACCACGGACAGTGCCAACATCTCGTATGTATGTCTTAGAGTCAACCCAACAGACCTAAATATCTACCTTCCAGAAGCGGATACACAGCGGCAGGTAATGCCAAGTCAAGCGCCACCCTAAGCCAGTTGTTCCCCGGCCACTGATTGTGTAGGTTTTAGGCTGGCGGGAGGATTCGACTTTGGGATGTTGCACATACCCCTGCAGCATTTGCAGTAGTCGGTCTTGGTATGGGTATGGGTACGAGGTACATCTCCGTACTTCGTACTTCGTATCGAAGAAAGAAGTGGGTACGATACGGATCCAGAGTTGAGTCGATGCCTCAGATCTGGGAGTCGACAGTCCCAGATATTGAGTGAACTGAAACTGTCTGCTCCAGAATGAGTACTTGGTTGAGTTGATTTGAGGTGATTTTCGTTTGCCCTAATTTTGGTAAGATTCGTTCGTATCTGCGAATTTACATTTTAAATACAAGCAGTTAGGTCGGTACGAGTACAACCTCAATTGAAGTCCAATGTACCTATACCTTACTATCCAAATCTATCGTAAGTCATATCATCATATGTCATCAATGCTCATCACTATGCAGTAGGCGGTCTATTTCGCCATCAACTCCACAAATTCAGGCCACTGCCCCCCAAAACTAGCGTAGTAATCGGTGGCCAAGTGGGTGATGAAAATCTCGTCTGCAACCTTGCGAACCTGCTTGACCAGCCCCCGGAGCGCAGACCCTTCGACGCTCTCCGGCACCGAGTGGATCACCGCACATAGCTGGCTGCGATTGCTTTCCGGGATGGCTGTGAACAGGTTGGCCCCATGCCGTTCCTGAAAGGTGTCATACGTCGCTTCGAACACGACAGTCGAATCTGCTGTCGACAGGTAGCGAGAGTCGGGGATTGCGCCGGGATTGTGGACAACCTGTAGCACGTTAGCTTCTGGACAGGTTCAGGCAGACTGTGTAAAAGCAAAGGTGATAATACGATCGCGGGATGGTAAGCGAGAAAAATACAATACCACGACATGGTAATATACCTGAGACAGGACGTACGAAATGATCAGGCCCCAAACCAGGCGTATTTTTCACAACATCAGTCAACTCCTGCAGATATGCCAAGGCATCCTCATCATACTGCTGAGGGGTCTCGTCGAAAAAGATCCCCCGAACGGCTAGATCCGGGTTGGAACTGCTCGTTGGCCACGCCGCATAGGTCTCGATGTCCCTGCGCACCAGCGAGATATTGCGCTTCGCATACGTCGTCGCCACATAGCCTAAAAGCCGCACATTCTCGTATGCGCCCAGCCTGGGGATCTCGCGCGTGTAGTTGGCATCCGGCAAAGCGCTGGGTCCAGGTCCGCTCCCTGGATTGATCACAACCGTGAAGTTCACCTCTGGGTGTTTGGAGATCCTGTGGGTTTAGCTGTCTTGCCCTGGTTGGTGGTGCCGATTCAACTGGCCAGAGGTGGGAGACATACACATCTTCAAGCGGAGTCCAGGCTCCGGGTGCTGGGTACACGTAGAGAGGCACAAAGACCTTGGATTTAGGCCCCATGTCGTTCTTCTTGTGCAGCGTCACCACAACCGCCGGAGGAATCACAACAGCCAGAATAGCAATAAAAACAACGACGGCCAAGACGATTCGAGAGCGCCGGCTTTGCAGACAGCGTCTACTGCTCACGTGTTTTTCGGACATTGCAAATATTATTATTAATAATAAAGATAAAACGGAGTCAGGAAAAGCTAATCACCGAGCGTCACAGTAGGACAAGAAGAAACGCTTCAAGTGGACTTCCCTCCGGCCGGACAGGACATGGCGCCGGAAGCCAAAGGAATAAGTAGCAAGCCAGCCCTAGACGGATAGTACGGTAGATAGAACAGAGATTTACTGTTTCTAGTGGATTGGTCGCATCTCGGCCCAGAAAATAAAACAGTAGTCATGAATAATATGATCCACAGGCATAAAACAAATAATAATACGATATGATATGGTCCGGGCATCGAACACAATCGCGCCCAAAATAGACKAGCGGGGCGGATCTCGACCATGCCATATGCAGCAGACCAGACCCTCTAGTCTCGTAGTTAGGCTAATTTCGCAGACAAGTTGTCTCTCTTCCTGACCTCATGTGGTCCAAGTTCTGGTCCAAAGATCCTGCCCACGGAGTAGTCCCTTGGGTTACTACTGTGGAGGCGCTCAAGGCTCGTTCGATGATTCTGGCATTGTTCCAGAGGGAGGCAAAGTCACGACTCACGATTCATTTTGAAGCATCAAACGTCTAGGCCTTTCTCCGTGGACAGCCTGCCCTCGCTCTCTCTCCTTCCCATTCAATTTTCCCTGTCATCGGTCGTTTCCGTCTTTTCATCCTTGGCTAGTTGGCTTTCTTTCCTGAGGCTGAGGCCGATTCTCCTTGTTTCCCCTTGACTGATATTTTTTTCTTTTTGTTTATTCCTTTTTGTACCCCTGTTCTGACGATATCTGGTCCCTCTGGTATCCTGGCATCGTTGCATCCAATCGCTTCTATAGTTGTCTCCCGTGTAGATCAAGCAAGTCATCGTGCCCTCTTTGCCTGACCCAGCTGGATAGAGCGGGCCGCTGCCAGGTGGTGCTTGTTTTCAAGTATAAAACTCTTCCTTCGTTTCTCCGATCTGTCCGAGTTCATCCACGTTCGTTTGAGCAAATCCAAACAAACTCCCTCGTTTGCTTTTCAAGAATCTCCCCTAGCATATCATTCTCGGCGTGATCTCTATCGATGGACAGCCACCAGCAATCCGACGTAAGCACCCCGGTGGAGCCTTGCTCCCCGAGCTGCGTGGACACGCCCGCAACGCAGTCGTCCGTGTTGTTTGACGGTCATCTGGAAGATCTTCTGCGCCACTTCCCTCTCGACCAGTACATCCTTGTCACTGGCGGCCTCGGCTTCATTGGCAGTCACACAACATTGGAACTCCTCAAGGCCAATTATAATGTGATTGTGATCGACAACCTCAGCAACTCCTTTCAGGACGTCTTCGACCGCATCAAGCTGTTAGCGTCCAAGTACCATGAGCAGCAGGGAACCAAGATGCCGTCGCTGCACCTGCATGCGCACGACTATCGTGACACTGCCGCTCTCCGGGACCTTCTAGAACAGCACCAGACTCAGACCCGATGGGGAACGACCAAGTCTAAGATCTCTGGTGTCATCCACTTCGCTGCCTACAAGGCAGTGGAGGAGAGCATCCGTAACCCACTCAAGTACTATGCCAACAACGTCAGCGGCCTCATCGACTTTGCCACGACCCTGGGTGACTATGGCATCAAGACCTTTATCTTCTCCTCGTCAGCCACCGTGTACGGCACCTTGGCAACCTCCGGTCTCCCCCTGAAGGAGGAGCTTTGCACTCACAAGGAGGAGATCTATACGGACCACGACGGCGCTGAACGAATTGTCCAGCCCGGCTGCACAGGCATCACCAATCCTTACGGACGTACCAAATGGATCTGCGAGGCCATCCTGGCGGATCTCGCCGCCTCCGACCCGGAATGGACGATCGTAGCTCTGCGGTACTTCAACCCCATCGGATGTGACGAGTCCGGCCTCCTTGGAGAAGACCCCAGACAGACTCCCACAAATCTGCTCCCCGTCGTCGTCAAAGTCATGACAGGCGAGTACAAGGAGTTGCAAATGTTTGGCACTGACTGGGACACCGAGGACGGTACCGCGGTCCGGGACTTCATCCACGTCTCCGACCTTGCTCGCGGCCACATCGCGGCCCTCAGTGCAGCCAACGAAGGCAAACTGGCCGAGAACTTCCGCACGTTCAACCTGGGAACCGGTCGCGGACACTCTGTCAAGGAAGTGGTCGAGACCATGGAGGATGTCTCCTCCAAGCACATCCCCCGAAAGGCGGCTGATCGCCGCGAGGGGGATGTGGGCTCCTGCGTCGCCGTGGCCGCAAGGTCGCAGCAGGAGCTCAACTGGAAGACGGAAAAGTCACTCAAGGATGCTTGCGTGAGCTTGTGCAATTTCCTGGAAGTCAGTGGGTTGTCTACTTAGTTATGTCGCTGCATGTCGCATTTTCCTTTGGTATGGCGTTGGTGGACTTTCTATATCTCAAGCATTTCTGTGCTGTCCTCATTTCGAGCATTGGGGGCTTAAAATTTGCTCATCTTGTTTCTTGCTTGGTTTGCATATTAGAGAAGCATTCTTCAGGTCATAATTTGAGCGACCTGGTTGGACACGAAGTAATATACGCAAGTTGCCACAGTTTGACAAATCCTTTTGTTTGTTGATGTGTCATTGAGAAGAATTTTGGAGTATTGAGAATTTGAGATTGTTGTTGTCAAGTGGACTCTGTAGCTCTTTAGCTCCTGGTATCCCCTCATCTGGCCCCATCGTTATGTCCATGCACCTGATCTGATTGGTTGGTAGACGAAGATCATCTGGTTACTGGTTCACGTTCTATACAACATGAATACTGAGCAACAACCCCAGGAATTATGCCTCTATCCATAATACTAGCAGTGCCTGTACCTACATGTGCTATGTTGATATAGTCTTTGCGGCTAAAGTATCCCTGGGCTAAGCAGCCAAGCCCGCCACACCGAATGTTACGTAGAAGGATTCAAGCTTAATATAACTATACCTCTCTACAGACTACGGGATTCTTCGAGAGGCTACCTAGTTATAGCACATGTATTGAGAGACATGTGATTCTGGTCAGGTCACTGGGGTGGTCCATGAGGTGTAGACCGTGTAGTAGATAGGTAACATGCATGAGTCGGTCCTTGGCTCGATAAGCTATAGATATAAATAAAACTACTAGCCACTTCTGCTGACCATCCAGCTGCACGTCCTCAGTCCTATCAACATATCGGTGATAAGATCATCAAGTAGACAGTACTTGAGATCAACTCGAACTCCAAATGCTAGACAGCGGCACAGCTATCTCGTGGCTAACTACTAACTACTAACTACTAACTCAAACAGGCATGACATGACAGCAACATTGAAAGACGATCTCTAGTGACTAAGCTTATGGACGATGTAACCTCACTGATTAAGTTTCCCATGCTAGACGGTAGACCTCTGTCAGATTGCTTTCTTGTTTTCCTTCTGGTAGACACCTACTTGTCAACCTCTTGATCAAATATTTAACCCTGTACCTCGACCGACATCGGTGTGCTCCTCTCCACTATATACATCCACCAAGTTACATTCAACAGAATACAAATCCTACACCCACGGCTGAGTCCTGACATCAACAAACATGACAACAGCATCAATCGGCCCCGCCCGCTGCGCAAACCTCACCGGTCTCCCGCAGCTCATCTACCCCAACACCTGCGGCGTCCCAATCTACCAGCACTGGAACGCCACACAAGACCCCTACACGACCTTGGGGCAATGCTGCCAGGAAGTAAACGGGACGATAGGCTACTTTGGCCAGGAGAGCTGTGCCGCGTATTGCAATGCCACGGAGAGTACCCGGGGGCAGTTACATGATTGCCTGGCGCACTCGCGGGAGATTAATCAGTTTGGATGCTCTGGGGCGGCGGCGACGAGGGGGAGTTTGTGGAAGGCTGTGGTGGTGGGGGGGCTGGCTTGGTTGGTTTTTATACGTTAGGCTGGGCTACAGATTGCTTGATTTTAATATTATGAGATATGATGCTCAACGCAGGGTCAACATACGAGAGGATGTAAGTGAAGTGTCTTTGTTCCGATGAACTGGGGTCTTTTCAAAAGAAGCCAACCAATGTATGGGGCTTACGGTGGACAGAAAAGCAAAGATTGTTCGTGGTTCTCGCCAGGCTGAAAATAAGCTGGGGATACGAAGTCAGCTCTCAATCATCCAGAGTTCATCTCTGTGCAGCATGTCCGTGCCTCGACAAATCATAAGCTAGAACTGTAGAACATGCCCTCGACGACAAGGGCATTGAATGCTACTCTCTGCTCTCGTTTGCTTGAGGGAGGTAAAGAAGGATTCAGAAGACATGCGCATCCGTAGTTGCTTGCGTCCCATCAGTACGGACGTCGGCGGCGAATATAGGTGGACGCATTACCTGAATGGTAATTGATGCATGTCCATTGCAGATGATCCATATGCAGTATGCAGTAGCATACGCCGTCTTTAGAATATGTGCTCGTCATTGTGGATTGATATGATCAGCATAGGAATTTAGAGAGTCATGAGAGTGATAGAGTAAGAACACTGTAATTATTTATGTTAATGCAAAGTCAAATCTTTGAGAGACCTAACAAGAAGGTTTAAGCATGGAGAGCCTTTCAGGAGACTGCTGTTATGAGGACATGCTCTAGGTGAGTAAGGCTGCTTAATATGCCATATAGTCACCCCTGCAGAAGATAGTCATATCCATCCTAGATCGGGGTTCTCCAATCATCTGGCACACAAATATCTGAATTTCATACAGTGTTCATGTGCCATGTATTTCAGATGTTAAAGTTGCTGTTGTATTCCCTGCTGTGTTGACCCTACTGCTATCATCCCTACTAGCTAGATGGTTGTCTGGACGCCTTTTTGGCTGAGTGGTTAGATGTATGACAGTTGCTTTAGTTTAGTCCTCGAGATGAGCAGAACGGCCAGAACCTAAGGCACGAATGCAGTCTGGTGTATCTCCACATCACGTGACTATAACCTCCGGCTTGGCATCAAATTCATTCCGCAGTTTTCAATATCAGCTTCATATCAATC